ATTAATAATATTATATTAATATAATTACAATAATTAATTAATTTAGTATTTTTTGATAGTACGTGATCCCACGATTATGACCGTCGTGAAGTTAGCCCCCAACATTAAAAAAAATAAAATTTATATAGCTCATTTGATTGCTCATTGTTTGCACATTTATGCACATTTATGCACATTTTTAATTTTCGTCTGCACACCTTTAGTTTAAAAGTTATTTTTAAAAAAAATTTTGGGGGAGCTAACTTCACACTAGCCTCCTAACATCGAGAAAATGGGTTCGAAAGATCTTAATCGATAGATTTTCGTCTGCACATTTTGAAACAATTCGATTTTCCGTTTGCACACCTGCAGTTTAAAAGTTATTAACAATTAAAGTATCGAGAAGGATCGACAGCGGCAAATTGGTTCAAATCGCATTTAATAGGCTCAAAATCGCATGAGACGACAGGATTTCGTTTGCACATTTCTAAACTATACGATTTTTCGTTTGCACACTTGTAGTTAAAAATTATTAACAAATTAATTTCGGGGGACCAACTTCACTCTACTCATAAAATACGTTTCCGACTCAAATTCGATAGGAAGGAGTTCAATATAGCACCAATCGATAGATTTTCGTTTGCAAGTTTCAAAACAATTCGATTTTCTGTTTGCACACCTACAGTTTAAAAGTTATTAACAATTAAAATTTCGAGAAGGATCGACAGCAGCAAATTGGTTCAAATCGCATTTAATAAGCTCAAAATGGCATGAATCGATAGAATTTGATCGACTGTCGATCCTTCTCGAAACTTTAATCGTTAGTAACTTCTAAACTATGTGAGCAAACGAAAATCTATCGATTTTAAACTAATGGTGTATGTATAAACAAAAATTAAAAGTGTGCAAACGATAAGCAATTGAATGAGCTATACAAATTTTATTTTTTTTAATGTAGGTGGCTAACTTCACGACGACAGTACGATTACGTATATACCAAAATTATGCAACTAAATCTAGCACGTGTGGAGACAGAGAAAAGTAACTGAATTGCTGCGTGAAATGTCCTTGATAAACATGTTATTTTTCATACTTGTCAGCTAGCAACTAAATTGAGTTTTGGTATTTTTCGATAGTATTTAATAATTGTCTCAGGATTATTTAGGCATCGATATAATGCGAGCAACTAATTCTTGACACAATACACAGGCGAGTTAAGAAACCGACAGGCGAGATGAGAACGCGTCGCCTTGATTGGCTGGCAGCCGTCATTCAAGTCTTGTCGGTTTCTAACGTGCTGCAGCTAGCAACAGTAGCAACTAAATTGATTTTTGTCATTTTTCAATAGTACATGATTATGTAGATACCAAAATTATGCGAGCAACTAAATCTGGCGCGTGTCTGGTAACGGAGGAATGTAGCTGATTCGCCGCGCAGAATGACCTTGGTGAACACGTTTTTCACACTTTCCAGCTAGCAACTAAATCGAGTTTTGTTACGATTTGATAATACGTTTATGAAGCATTATTTTGGTACCAATATCATGCGACCGTATAATTTTCGTTTGGTAGGAACGGAACTTGTAGCGGATTGTTTAGGTTCCTGCGACGCAATCGCAAGTATTGATTTTTCCTTAAAAATATTAAAATTCAACATTCTATTGATGCTATCTTGGAGCAAATAAAAAACAATTAAATCTGATGTGGTTGATTTCATTGTAGCGCAATTATTGTATCTATTTTTTTTATTATGGGGGTCTAATTTAATATAAAGCTAAACCCCCCACTATCGAAAATCAAGTTCGCAACAGGTCAAAAATTTAGTGCTTTTTAAGTGCTAATTTAATACTTTATTTATTAAAATAATTAATTAATAGCGGTGCGCGTTTTTCCACTAATTTTGAGTGAGCACTAAATTCGGATATGCACATATTCTGATATTACAATGTCTAAGGATTATTTAAATACCAATATCTTGCGAACACCAAATTCTTTGATGATCTGATAAGCGATTTTAAAGCGCAACGCGCGCTTTTCCTCTATTAATTAATCATTTTTAATGACTTTGAATGAGTACTAAATTCGGATATGCACATATTCCATACTATTTACAATGTCTAAGAATTATTTTGGGATCAATTACTTGCGAGCACCAAATTTCTTGGAATGCAGGTGCCGGGTGATGGAGTTCTCTTTACATGTTGGTGTATTTAAAATAACGGTTTTTTAAATATATTTCAATATATTTTGATATAGTTTTCGTTTATTTTGGAGCACTAAATTAGCACTAAAATCCCTGTGTGATTATTTTTTGTTTTCTATTATTCTCTATATTATGGGGGGTCTAGCTTGTCATTAAATGGAACCTTCACCCCCTTTTTAATTCCCGCTAAACGATTGGTGCACTAAAATTCACAATAAAGTACTAAATTAGCACTTAAAAAGCACTAAATTTTTGACTTATTGTGAACTTGATTTTTTATGGTGATGAATCCAGCTTAATAGACGTCTCAACGTCTTTGAGTTAAAATTAATATTTTATTTTTTACAGTGTATACGTAAATTTTCGTCTCGTATTTATGTTTTAATTAGACATATAAATCCAATTTGAGAACTCCACGCTGTTTCTTCATGCAAACTACTTGTTTGTGGACTACTATTTCGTACGTATAGATCGCATAGCTTTTATATGAAATAAATGTTGTAACGATGTGTAACGACGTGACAGCTGTGGAGCGCTATATTGGTCTAAAATATGGTAAAAACTCAATTTCGAATTTTTGTCGTTTTCGGCATTGGTTCTACCTCACAGGCACGTATTAATGTATTTTAATTTTGGAAAAGGATTTTCGAATCTGTGAATAACAAAAAGAGTATTTGCGACAAAAATTATATGATTTAGTCGGTAATACAAACGACTTTAAAATCCTCTTAAATGAAGATAAGAATGTATCATTTACGTAAACCATTCACCGTCGATTATTACACGCATCAGGTAGACATGGACGTGTTGCAAGGAAATTACCCTTCATGAATAAAAACAATCTTAAAAAACGTAGGGACTTTTACAATAAACATGTCTTATACCGTTAACATTTTGGAAAAATGTCCTTTGAACCGATGCATCCATGATTAGACTGAAATATAGCCATGGACGAATGTATGTTTGGAGGAGGCACGAATATTTTTTATCCTACAAATGTGCCAAACCAACATTAAAATTAATAGAACACGGTTTGGGAATACATATCACATTTTGGAATAGAGAAAATTGTAATTTTAAAAGGGAAAGTAAATTCTCAAATTTACTTTAACTTACTAAAAGAAGTAATAATTCCTATAGGGAAACGATTACCAGATAATTTTATCCTTCAACAGGATAATGCACCTATACATAAAGCGAAAGTCGTTACCAAATATTTACAAGAAAGTGCAATAAACATATTACAATGGCCTCCACGCAGACCTGATCTTTCACCAATAGAAAATATGCAATCCATTTTTAAATTACGTATTGCAGAAAATAGACCACACAACATCACGGAATTACAAATGTTAATAAAAAAAAGTGGCAACTATTCACTGTTGAAGAATATAGAAAATATACGCTCTCCTTACCAGATCGTTTGGCAAAAATGCCATTACAAAATGGCAATTATTGTGGATATTAATTTGTTTGGATGTTCTTTTACTTACTTTTGTAATATGCGTTTGTAACATATCCTGCATTCTTATTTTTTCTTCAAGCAAATTATAAAGTAATGAAAGTTTTGTTAATATAATTACTTAAATATATCTTTATGTAATATCAATAAATATTAAATTTATTGTATAAAAAGTTAAACATTTAACTCTACTCAAATGCTTTTATGTTACAACGCAAACTGTTTATTTACTTTTATACATACTACAGGGTGAATTTTTTAACCTGAAACTTTCAAATATCTCGAAAACTAAATCCAGTAGACAAAAATGTTTGAAATGAAAATGGAACGGTGTCGAGGAGGACACATTTTAGTCACGTTGTTTTTTTCCTAAGTGGAGGCGCTAAAAAAATATGAAGGTCACCTCCACTTTTTAAAATGGAATTATGTAATTTTTTTTAGATAACGTGATTCCTCTAATTATTTGCATATAAAAGTATTAAGGTAGAGGTACCACAAAAAACCAATAGTTTTTGAGATATTTTACACTTTATCTTGGTACATATTGACACAAAATGTTAAATAACTCGTAAACTGTTGACTTTTTGATTATCGTACTTTAATACTTTTGTGAACAGAATAATGAGATAAATCAAATGGTGTAAAGAAAACACATAGTTGCTTTAAAAAAAATATGTAGGTATATAAAATGGATAATTTTTTAAATACGCATTATTCTGTTCACAAAAGTATTAAGGTACGATAATCAAAAAGTCAACAGTTTACGAGTTATTTAGCATTTTGTGTCAATATGTACCAAAATAAAGTGTAAAATATCTCGAAAACTATTGGTTTTTTGGTATCTCTACCTTAATACTTTTATATGCAAAATAATTAGAGGAATCACGTTACCTACCAAAAATTACATAATTCCATTTAAAAAAGTGGAGGTGACCTTCATATCTTTTTAGCGCCTCCACTTAGGAAAAAAACAACGTGACTAAAACGTGTCCTCCCTCGACACCGTTCCATTTTTATTTGAAACATTTTTGTCTACTGGATTTAGTTTTCGAGATATTTGAAAGTTTCAGGTTAAAAAATTCACCCTATATATATCAGACATGTATGTTCGTTCGCCGCGAAACGCGAGGAGCGTTATTCATGCGCGCTTTCATCTTCAGGGCAAAGAGACCCAGCGGAAAAGGAAGAAGAAACGCCGACTTTGTAACAAGTTCGAATTCCCACAGCGGCGTAGACACACCTACGCCTGCTCGGTACGTACGAAACCGAACAGAAGACGTAGAAGAAGAAGAAGAAGAAGGAGTCGGAAGAGGATGAAGAAGACAGCAAGAGAGTGAAAGAGATGAAAAAGTCTTACCATGTGAACGTTGGAGAGGCCGATCGGATCGTTTTGCTTCTTGTCTGTCTTTTTGGCTTGCCGCTTGGCTTTACTCTCAAGGAAGCGTTGCTTCAACATCAAGGTATCCTGTATGTTCTGCTCGCACAATCCGTTGAAACTCTGATCAAACCTGGGAATGCAGTCGTTTTGTCTGCGCCGGTAACTCTCGAGTCTTCGTCGTAGGCGGTCTACGATCGCCTGCCTCTTCGGGGTGAGTACCTCACCCATACCAGGTGCTTGACCCATTTGCTGTTGTTGTTGTTGTTGTTGTTGTTGCAGGTGCAATTGTTGTTGACTGGCTATGCCCAGCTGACTGGCACTTAATTCGTGAATTACGGTCGCGGATTGGCCGATGATGTTGCCGGCGTGCCCGTTTGGACCCTGGCCCGCACACACGGAGATGGTGCCGGGGGCGACGCCGGGGAGGCCTTGCGGGGGCTGTCGGGGCAGGAGCCCCCCGGCCTCCATACAGCCCCCTAAATCCACTGCAGGATAAGCCAGTTCTCAGTGATTGCTACCCAGGTGGTCGATTATTGTAACGCGCGATGCTGACCGCGCGTCGTCCTCTACCATCAGTTTCACTATTTGCGTGACGCGCATTCTCCGTATCCACCCCACTGATGTGCCACCGACGATCGTGTTTGACTTCCAAGCGCAGGGGAGCATCTAGTTATGCGGCGGTGTGACGCTGTCGCGAGGCCTCGGACTTGACCGCAGTCGATGTGCTTTTCGCGAGAATGATATACTTTGATTTTACCAAATAAACAGTAAGACTGTCTCTTTCCTTGTCTTTCTCGTGAACACTTGTTGCAACGCAAAAATACCAGAACTGCTATTTCGCAAACGATTCAATTTACGACGTTACGACAGGAGACTCTGAAGTTGTACGCGCGCGCACACATATACGGCACGGAGCGCGCCAACTTGAGCTACGTAATGCGATGCCACTGGCGCGGCGCGCGCGGCATCGATGCCACGGACTCGTCATCAATGAACACGATCGCGTTCCGCCTTTTGTTTCCTGACCACGCGTGTGATAGTGCGCGCGTCGTCGCACGGCCAGCTCTCTCTCTCTCTCTCTCTCTCTCTCTCTCTGTGCGGTCTGCTCTTCCCTGAAGATTCTGTAGAACGTAGATATCAAATCAAAACACCAAACAATTACAACGATCGTTACAGTGTTCACGATGATGATTCACAATTAATCCACGTCAAAACACAAGGTAGATAAGATTCACCGGTGTGAAAACGTCCGATACGCGAACGGAGCTCTGGCGACTCGGATCACGAGATTCGCGACTGTCACGCAATGTGCGCAACGGAAGATTCGACGACGGTGAGACGGAAGGTTCGCCGCGCACGACTAACTTGACGATAAGAGCCCGTTCAAGTCCTTTCTCTCGCGCAATCCTCTTTCTCTATCTTACAAACGCATGATCCCCCTCACTTTTTCTCTGTCTCTCTTATTCGCATCCCGTCTCACTCCGTCTCACGCTTCCTCGCATTATACTCTCGTCGTCGCGGCGATGCCGAGTGGAAGGGAGAACAGAACCGCGACACCCAAGACTTTCGTGGTTTCACAATCGGATACCTACCTCTTTCATCCGTAGTGACCGTCTCTCTCTCTCTCTCTCTCTCTCTCGACAAAAATTTCTCCGACAGATAGTTCGCTTGTATACACGTAATTTCTCCACGATTGATTGCGTTTAACGTCGAGTTGGTCAGAAGGGAACACACTGGATAAATGCCGATACGACGCTGAGTATTTACGGCGAATTTGCCCGGTGCGTCGCGAGCGCGTTGGACGTCACAACAGGTAGTTGAGTGAGGGCAGTGTGCTGCCGCTTGTCTGTTGAGAAAGAGAAGAAAAAGGGAGCGGGTGGGAGCGAGAGGTTGTCAGACGGCACACCGGTGCGCAGAAGGGAGACGCCAGAGGCCGGACAGATCGAGACGAGAACACGCGTCGACAATGCTCGATGACGCTGGCGGGTCGAGGGGACGAAGGCGTGCGCGCGAACCAAGAAGAGAGAGGGTCCGCGAGGAGTCGGTAGCAGGGTGGGAGAAACGGAAGAGCAGTTTCAATGCTCGGGGCACGAATTCCTCTTGCGCGCGCGCGCGAGTACAAATTCGTTTCGATTCTCGGAGAATTTAAAATCTTTTTTCCCGCGCGATTTCGCATTCCATCGTCGTATCTTAATTTCCTCTTGCACTTCGAAATAATTGTCTCGAGATTTCGGCAACGATTGGCGATCAAACTGCTCCTGGAACGCGCGCGAACGAACTGGCGCTGTATCGGATTGAATCCGTACGTAACTTCACGCGCGGACGTTCGTCACTCCGGAGCTCGACTCGGTTTGACTGTCGTAATGAATCACATGTCTTCGAGCGTCGACATCGAGTGCGCGTACGATCAACAGTTGCATAACCTCACTTTCTTTCGATTCGCGCATACACACACGCACGCGCGCGCGTCCAGTGTGCTCCGCGACGACGCGAAACGCTTCTTCTTTACTTCTCTCTCTCGCTTTCTCTTGCTCTGTTTCTGCTCGCTTCCTCGTCTGTCTCGTTCTTATTACGCGGATGCTCGCGCGCGATCGCACCCGGCGACGAAACGTCAGACGCTCGGTCGGATCGCTCCTAGCGAACGCACGGTGTCATTAACAGAACTGCACGAGGGTGGAACGGGTGGAACGTGAGGAACATGCATGATACACCCATACACCCGTTCAAACGACGAACCGTAATTACTGCCGCCGCGACGCGGCCGCGCTCCGGTGGCGACGCGAGAAACCGTCAGAATTGTCAGAAACCGCCGACCTCCGATCGGCTTCGTCCAACGTGGCGTCAACGTTCGGCGAACATTGGTACTATCATGGATTCTGCAAGTGACGGTACGTCGATCATAGTGGGCAGAATCGTGTCGAGAACGGCTCCGAAAGCTTCGTGTTTCGGAGTAAATAAATAATTAAATATATATACATATATATATTTATATACACACACGTTGTGAGAAACTCGTGGCCTTTTTTAAACTATTTTCCGCACTCGTGAGTGCTAGACCGACCTGGAGAGAAGGCACGAGCCGGCATGTGACAAGTTCTTCACTTTCAAACAAGTTTTGAACGTCCGTCCAGTGTAACGCAGTGCCGGCGAAACAGGCCTGGGAATATGGAGTGTTCCATACCCTAGAACTTCCAGGGTATGGAATTCCATACCCTTGTAGGAGCTGAAGTCCTATGCTGGTTTTCATGGTTAGGTTCATTATAATAGGCAAAAAAAATAATTTTAAATAAAAAATAACATGACATATTTTAGCCCGTAATTTATACTGTCTGTCAGTGAGGCTCTACCGCAGTGCTAAATTCTTTTGAAAATTTTGCAATTGGCAAACAGAATATTACCGTAGATGAGATATTTAAATTTTATAATTGCGATAACTCGATACCGAAATTTGATAGATCGGACGATTTCGATAAACAGAAGCTTACATTACACCGCGAAATGCTTTTAGAAATTGCGTCGACAACAAATGTAATTTTTAATTGTTTGGCTGATGTTGTACAATTCATTCAGCAGAATCCCGAAATTGGAGAACTTGTACCCGAGTACAAAAAGTTACTCCGCATTCTGCTGACGATTCCCGCAACGTCCTGTACAAACGAGCGATCATTTTCTGCTTTAAAGTACTTAAAAAATTATTTACGATCAACAATGCTACAGAAGCGTTTAAATAATATTTCAATCTTATACACACATCAAGATATAGTAGATCAATTAGATATTGAATTATTGATGAATGAATTTATTAAGAAAAATAATAAAAGAGCCTCTACTTTCGCAATGTAAAAAGTGAATATTTATTTCCCCTCCCCCTACCCCCCTCCTTTCACGTTCGTCGGAAAATTCCATACCCTAGAAAATGTTGTTCCGCCGGCCCTGGTGTAACGTACGACTTTAATGGAGATTCTCAAGCGTGATCGGGAAAGATTGATTCCTTGAGTGTCCTCATAGAGAGAGAGAAGTACAAACCTCTGTCGATCAAGGATCTTCGAAACCTGTCAGAATCAGTCAGAATCCTAAGCATGTGACAAACATAATAAGCTCAATTACGTCATTGCGATACTGCGAGATTTCGATACTACAATTTACTCCCTTCAGAATTTTTGGCCAGAAAGGCAAATTTTGTACTAAGAGCCCCAACACACACTTTTGCATAACGCATAAAGCATGTGCATAAGGAATTTCATTGGCCCATTTTCTTATGCATGAGTCAATGGACCAATCAAATTCTTTATGTATATGGTTTATGCGTTATGCAAAAGTCTGTGCTCCCCGCTTAAATCTCTAAAAATACATTATAAAACAAATTTTGGAATGCTCTGAATTATAATTCGTAGTGTTTCGGAAAATTCTAGTTGAAGCACGTGTTTTTACGTGGCAAAATGAGACTCGACATTTATAGTTGCTTTCCATCTAAACCAAAATTCAGATAATTCTCATTTGTGACGTTGAATGTACGCACCGGCAGAAATGCTGTCCCTCGGCGTTCGGCGCGCGGCGCTACACACTTGTACCGAGCGCACACGTACGTGTTACTGGAGCGCGGAGGAGGCGTGAAGCGCGGAGGGAGAAAGTAGTGGGGCGCGCTCCGATATTCTATCCTTAGCGCAAGGCGCACGATCGAGAGAGAAAGCGTAATTGGACGTGGATGCCTGCTCGCGGTGTCCTTTCGCTGTCTCACACATTTGTTACTAGTACGAGTGAGATACTCCGGTGTCTTTCGCTTGTCAATATTCATAATAATACTTTTATTACACACAAAATGTTGTAATTATGCATAAAAATTTTTAATATTGTAAATCCACGCCTCCTCCGCGCTCCCAGTAACACATACGTGTGCGCTCGGTACGAGTGTGTAGCGCCGCGCGTCGAACGCCGAGGGACAGCATTTCTGCCGGTGCGGTACGTACATTGCTTTTCTGACGTAAATGTGACTTATCTGAATTTTTACCTATATAATTAATTAGTAATTATTTAAAATATGATCTTTGATTTTGATGAAATTAGGCTTATTCGACGCGTTTTTGCACAAAACGAAAGAATCTGTAAGAGAAAACGTTAGGATGGCTCCGCGAACCGAGATATTAAGCGTTAAAGTTGACTATAAAGGTTAAAAAAACCGTCATATAAGATGCAGAGATGTGGTCACATGCGCATGCACTGTGGCCATAACACTTCGCCAAAAGTAGACAATATCAATGAATTTGTTTATAAAGCGGAGATTTTATTTGTAAAGCAGAAAAAGAATGTATAATTCTCTGCTTTAAACATACAAATTTGTGTTTGTA